TTTCCTAAAATGCATAGATACAAAGTATCAAAAAATGCAAAAGATCTTATTAAAGAATTGCTTGATGTTGATTCTGAAGATAGATTAGGATCAAAATATGGAGCATCTGAAATTAAACAACATGACTTCTTCTCTAATATTAAATTTGCGTTAATTAGAAATATGACACCACCTATTATTCCTCGATTAAATGGTCGTAGAGATACATCATACTTTTATCAATATAAACCTTATGATGATGACGTTCCTGATGATTGGGGATATGCTGCAGAGCAAAAATTCTATACTCCAAAGAAGAACCAAATGAAATTAACATCATTGGATGACATAACATCATCTATCAATAAAATGAAAGAAGGAAATTAATTTTTTTAATTCAACTTGTTTTTATCTAATTAGTTCTACTTTTAATAAAATAAAAAATAATCTAATTAATAATATTTATTTGTTTATTCATTTTCATTATTTTGAGAAGTTATATTATTATAATTATTGTTATATTCATCATCACTCTCTGTGCTGTCAGAGTATTTAGTTAATGTGATATGGTGTAAATTTACATTATTACAACAACCAATATATAATTAATACTAATGTATTTCATTTATTTATATAATATCATTATTATTGTTATTATATCAATATCATTTTTTTTTAAATTATTATTGATAATTTATGATTAAATCAGACAGTATATATATCACAATTTAAATGATTTCTACTAATCTTTATATTCATTAATTTGTAATATATTATATTTACTTAATTTATTTAAATAGTTATTGTTGTATTTTTATTTCTTACAATAATCAGATCATAATCTGTGTTTTATTTTGTTTATTATCTTGATGATATATTTCTAGTCTTCTTGTAAATTTAATCATCCCATGTAATAAGTATTTATTATAATTAATTACAATTAAACAATGTATTGATGTTATATAATGAAATAGATAATGTATATTTATTTTTATATTTCTTTATGTTATTTACTGATTATAGATTTGAATGTTTCTTTATTTACATTTTATATTATCAATTTGTTTCTTCATTCTCATTCTATATACCAATATATATGATATGGATGTTATATTATTTGTACGATATTTATAATATTTTATATTTTCATTATGTGTTATAGCTAGTTTTCTTGATCCAGTTATTAATTAATTTTCATTTATTATTAATATTTGATATTCATTCCATTCAATATTTATTAATTTCAATACTTTTAAATTATCATTACATTCATTCTTTTTATATATTTGCAAAATTTGATGATTTATTATTCATCTATTTATTATGACACTATTCTTTTATTTTCTCATTTATCATTTCTTTTATACTCTTCTTTTTATGATTTCTTTATTCTCTTTTTTTATTTTCTTTATAAAATATACTTTTCATTATTTATTCTTGAAATTCATTTTTTATTTCTATTATTTTCTTTACTTTTTGTGCTGTTGTTTTCATTCAAATTTCAATTGCATTATAATTAATGAACTTTCATTTTCACCTCTTCTACTCATTGATAATAACTAATATCAATTTCGTGATGTATATAATTTTATCTCTTGTTAATAATCTAGAATATAAAGATTAAGAATAAAATACTTTTCTTATTTTTATTTTAATTTATTCTAATTCACATAATATCAAGTTTATTGAAGAGAATTAATATCTAAATCTTTATATAACGTTAACATTTAACAATATCATATTATTACTTTGTTTTATGTTATTGTTATATTATTTAATTCATTTAATTATTCTTCTATTTTATTTTTCTTTATTTAATTTATTTACTATTTCTATTCATAGATATTAATTTGTTTATTATTACTTAGTTGTGTGTTATTTCTTATTTCTTCTTGTATTTTTTTCATTTATCATTATTTATTTTATTATTAATTTTTAAATATTCTTATTGTTATTATTATTAATATGTTATTTGTAATTATTATACCTTCATTTGAATTTATATTTATTTTAATTCATCAATATAAATTAAATGATTTATTTCTATGTTTATTTTGTATTGTTGATTATATAATTATGTTTTGATTTATTCTCATTAAATATATTGATAAATAATCATTAGATAATATGAATATGAGAAAGTACATCTCATAGAGTAATCATGTTTCAGTATTTATCATCGATTATGTTAATATAATTATATAATAGTTATCTTTTCAATTC